CCATTTAGCTATGCATTGGTTAATTTCATTATTATATTGATTCTGATTTACTAATAACTTAATAGTTAACAATGATAATTTTACTGATGTAAACTGTTATACCAACACAGTAAAAAAAAAATAGCTATTGAATAGCTATTAAAATTGATCAGTAACGACTAATATTGATCCTCAGGTTATAACCATTTCTGCTCTAACCAGTCTGTATCATACACCTATAAACCTCAAATAGCCGAACCACGAGTAAGTTGGAGCCATTCCAGGGACTATTGTAATAAATTCCAAGATGGATGTCTTGCTCGAGTATGGAATAATAACACCTTCAGACAACTACACGAGATGCTATACAACTCCATGGAAAACAAATCAGAAAAATACTGGGTTGGAATTAAGTACTGGAAGCGATTGCGTCAGTCAAAGGATATATTTAAGTGGGATAACGGAAGACGAGTCTCAGATGAAGAATCTAAAGAACTGCAAAAAATTATGGATCGGTCAAGCGTTTCTGTGATTCTTATATATCCTTATTGTATTGCAATTACGAGAGAGGACGAGCTAAAACCGATGCACTGTTCTAAAGAGTTAAGTTATGTATGTCAGACTGACGCTAACGGTAAGTCGTGGCAATACTTTTACTGAGCAACATTATCTTGGTGAAATCTTTAAGTAGCTAAAAGACAAATCCATTCTTTATCGGTATTTCAAAAATCCACAAAACGTCCAACCTATGATGTTAAATTGTCAAATTCTCTTGCACAAGCATCTTGTTGACACTAAAATTCCTTCCTTGTCACTAGTGCTATCGCATTATAAGTTACTGGGAGTGGGAGTGTACATAAGCGGTGATATTATACATAAACAAGAGTAAGCGATGATCTATTAATTTGCAAAAAGAAAGGTGTGTATTTTTATAGAGAAATCTTAATTTTGCCTCTTGATTGCAGCGACAACATCACCCCCTTCGGTCGCTATCACAACATCTTTTTCAACTGAATCAGCAGCAACCACAACATCTCTAACAACTGCTAGTACAGCAAAAGTTACATCTAAACCCACTTCTAGTGCAACAGAAGTAACATCTAAACCAGCTTCAAGTATAACAAAAAGTACGTAAAACTAACTGTTGAAGGTACACCTAAAGACGTCTATTATAACATAATATCAATTTTCACCATCTACAGAGAAACCCGAAATATCAGAAGCAAGTACTACTACTCCAACAAAAGAAAATACTCCGACAACAGCAATTAGCACAAAGCCATCAGCTATTACACCTCGCCCACTAACTGGGACAGATGAGAAGGTAGAGTGCTTGATAAGAATTATAACGATAATAGAAAAGATGATTATGGTGGAAGGGATGTGATGATGACACATATAACACGGATAGACATTAAACAATACTTTTACGTAAACCATTATTATTAATCAA